CCCCCCCCCCACACACACCTTTTAATGGGATTATGGCTCTGCATCCAGCTGGTTTTCACTCACATTTTCTGTCTCTGCCTTTGAGAAATATGGGGCCATAAGGCCAGGAGTGCTTCGACAGGGAAGGCAGAATGACATTTAGATGAACAAACACTCCTAGCAACCTGATTTCAGGGATGTCCTGCTCTTAACAGAGGGGAATTGCCTACACGGGAAATTTTCACTTAACAAATTTTACTGTTTTGAAATGATAGCCAATAATTCAGTTGCTCCCCAGTTTGTGGAGGCTGGCAGCTTGGAGAACCCACTTCATCAGGCTGGCTCCCCAACCTTGCTTTGTCAGCCCACCCGGAGGGATTGATTTCAGAGAAGAGAGGGCCACCAGGGTGGACCGGAGGCGTTGGAAACGCTACCCTTAAATTCTTGAATTTTCAGTCGACCCATACAACAGGCAAATTAATAACGCAGCTCCAGTTCAGGCTGGCACAAAGCAAATATTTTCGCATTTAAATCCCCGCATTAGAATGCCCTGTTTATACAATAACTTAATAAATCTAGCCCGGCTGCCAAACTGACAAGAAGGTGAGAATCATTCATTAAAATGCAAATGCAATTGAGATGAAATTTGGAATACATTTATTACAGTAATTGAACTTCAGTCAACTGTAGTCACAACACAGATTTTGAACTGCCTTTCAGACAAAAGGACGCGCTGTATTGTTCCCCCCACCAGCCACAAGTTAATATCTTTGTCAGCATGCAAATTAGTCATTTCCAAAGTGCTAATGATCTGCAGTGGAGATCTCACTCTTTATAGGACAGGCTTGCTAGAGATAAAGGTCAGTTGCATACACAAAAGATTGCTCTGGTATCATATTGTGTATATAGCAAATTGATTGCAAACATATTCTGAGTGCTTATTGCAGCCACATTCTTATTAAATCACATCGGAACATCCCTTTAGCATCCCTAGGTCATTTGCTAATTGTAATGCCCAACAGTGGGAGCTTTGCCGAGTCAGGATTTTACCTCACAGATCACAAGTTCAAGACGGATTTGTCTCCTTCCTGAATGACTCAGCCCAAAGAGAAAGAGTCTGTTCATGGTTTCCTTTTTATCATAAATCAGGTGAAGGAAAGATGCTATGGGAACTGTGATAAAGGCTCAGGAAACTTGACTTTAGCTGCTCCACTTTTATTCTTTCTGGCTCCTTTGCAAAACTCATATGGTGTTTCTGAGGTCTGGGCAGACATGTACCCGGCAGATGCTGTTTGAGTTGGAAGAAGGCACAACCTAGAGAGTTGCTTCAGCTAAGGATGTCACTCTAGGGTGGCCCAAAATAATTTGTCTCACCTGTAAAATGAGAGGTTACTTTTGTTCCCTTTACCCCCCCTTCATGTTTATTCATCGATCATGAGCGATGTCAACTCTACTTCCTAAATGTCACCTGACTGCCTTCCTGTTGCCACCACCCTGGCTGGAAACTATCATGGTTGTTTCTGTTACTCTTAAGTGGCTTCCTAC